AGGGACCGCATGCTATTTGTACTTTAAACTTTAAACCATAAACTGTATATAAATCATGATATCGGGGAGAATTTCGTAAATTTCAGCAAAATCTTAAACTTTGGTTATCTCATGCGAATGCTGCATAAAAAAATTATAAWTAAAAAAAATACAGATATCGGGGAGTAATTTATTTATTACATGGGGTCCCCAGATAATGTTCATCCCGTGCGAATAGAGCTTTTGTTTGGTGTAAAGTTTTGAATCAGGCATTTTTTTCATCCCAATAAAGCTTTTAAGGCACACCCCAATCTCTGAAGTTTTAACTGATGTCTTGTAACAGCTGCACCATTTCTACACAGCAGACATGCTTTTATATTTATGTATTTGTATTTATGTTTAAATGGTTAACAGAGCGCTTCAGAACCTACCAAGCGTTCCTCCGGGTCTAGGCTGCTGAGGCCGGTCTGCAGAGCCAGGATAAAGAACAGAACAGGCGCTACGAAGCCTAAACGCTTGTCCTCTTCTTCTGTCGAACCTGAAGTTTCACAACAAAAACGCACTCAAGATTTTTGCGGCATTCTCACAGTTGTTTGTCCAACAGACATAAAACACAAAAACATAAAAAACCCTCACTGATACCTATGAAAGCCAGGATGCTGAGGCCGAGGTAGTGTGCTACAGAGGAGATGACGGCGCTCATACCCAGCACAGTCAGTGTGGAGTCACAACCAGAGATGATCAGGTTACTTGTCAGATCCCAGAACACGTCCCAGCTAAACAGGTAACCCTGAAAACAGGATTAAACACTGCAATGAGATATAATGTCCTCAGTTTACAAACTGTTACATACCGTAATTCTTGCTGGGGATTCAGTTTTATTTCAAGAACTTGGAACATGAGTGCAAAGAAACAACCCCTTTAAGATGGGAAAGCCTCCATTAAATCACAACAAGTCACTCATATATTTCAACAATGATCTGTGTTTATATGTCGGCTTTAAAGAATCAAACTTTAGTGCTAACCTGTGCGTCAGAGCTCCCATCTGTTGCCCCTCCTGTCTCTTTCCTCACCGCCCGCACAACATAAACCAGTATGAGCGCCTGGGCAGTTACTCTGGTCAACCAGAACACTCGCAGCACATCAGGGAACCGGATTCTTTTCCACGTGTCTTCTAGCAGCAGCTGAAGTCCGTAGATCCTGTACATGTGCCGCACGAGCAGGTAGACGTACCGGCACGAGTAGTAGAACCACTTGAGTCTCACGGCTAAGCAAACGGCTGTGTTGAGCACAAGCACCAGGCCCGAGAACACGGCCACCAGATGTCGGACATCTGCCGGAAGCTCCATCATCAYCCCCCACAGAGGGATCATGATGTCCAAGACGACCAGCGCGGCGAACACCGACTGCAGGTTGAGCAGGAACACGTAGCCGATGCCGAAGACGAGCTGCACGGCGGCCATGCCGAGCCACAACGTCGTCCCGTTTCTGGGCAGCAACCGAAACCCCAGCGCCGCTTTGTAATACGCGCCGTAGAAGTCTATGTGTGAGGTGGCATAGTAGTTTATGAGGGCCGCCGCCATGCCCAGAAGAACAGCAAAGAAGAGGGTGTAGAACTTGAACAAGGCTTTCTGGGACAGTAGCAGCACCACAGTGGAGATTAGGACACCTGGAACACACAACATACCAAACGCACAGTCAGCAAAAACATTGAGAAATAACCATTTTTTTCTAATAATAATAGCTGTCAGCTTCTGTTTATGTGCATTGCAGAATTACATTTGGTTTCTTAAAAAGTTTACACCAAATGCCTTTATTCTCACACAATGTGTGTCCTATTGATGGGTGTTACTGCTGTGCATCTTTGTGCAGACGTAAATAAAAGAGATCAACARTAACATTTAAAACAGGCATCCCAACTATTTGGTTATATTTAATAAGATGTGATTGTAGAAAACGATGACCTATGACACTGACATGAATAAGTCTGTTTTAAGTTCAAATCTAGATAAACAAACTTTATGCTGAGTCATAGATACTTGTCCTTTAAAAAGGGTATAGGTTAAAGGAGCAGGGAACTTAAACTGGTGGCTGAAAATACCTAAAGAGTAATATATATCTGAAMCCTTGCCTCTGAAAATATACAGCTCTTTGACCCTCATCAAGAGACTTTACAGAGGTCATAAGACGTGCAAAGGTCCGCAAACTATTACTTATATAATCTGCCTGCTKGCGACAAAGAACAGACCACAGGGAAATGTGATTAAATTTGTTTTCTAAATTGCATTTTTGTATTATATATAGCTAAAATTCATAATTAACCCTAGTTTGGTGCATACAGACGGTGACAAAACATATTTCAAAAAAAGGAAGTAGTCCTTTGCGTAAGGTTAAAAAGTTTTCTGACAGGCAGAACCATCCGCCAGTTCAGAGGATACAAAATATGACACAACACCTGAGACCGGCTAGTTCGGGGCAGCGTCCAAGCTAGTTATAGACTTGTTAGAGTCAGACTCGAGTTAATAATGTGCTGAACAAACTAGTTGAGTTGGATGTCAACAGATCAGTCTTGAATTTGGGTTCCTGCTGGTAGTTAAATCGGATTTAGTCGGTCTGCCAGGTGGCAGAGGTCCATTGCTAGTTAGCTTGGGTAGCTAGCTTAGCTGTCACAACTTGATACAGCTTGTTTTTTTATAAACTAAAGCACTTTCTGCTTTACATTCACGCTTTAAATTACTCACCCATAACTCTGACCAACACCTTTCCTACCACCCCTGCCCATCCCGAGCCAGGGTCGTAGTAGGAGTTAAAAATAGCGTCGATAATGAAAACACAAGGAACTCGAAGCGCCACATCCAGCAGCGCTAAGGCCTGCTGGCCTAAGCGGGCTTGCGTGGACGCCATACGAACTCGGTAGCGGCTTTGCAGTCCCGGTCAGCCTCGAATACTCATGAAACATTAAAGTAACATTCAGGTCCACCGACGGCCTCGTTTAGTTTCGCTTCGGCGGACCTTTACATGCAGGTTAGCGTCCAGCCGTGGCTCGCCATGTTTGCCCAGCTGAGCCAAACCTCCTGTTGCTTCTTCTGTTTTCTGTCCAACGCGGAGCTCCTGCTCACATCCGGAGTCTTGTCCCCACAAAATGTTAAAATTCAAGCTGCTCCATCCGATCCGGCGCTGGTTAGAGTCGCGGAGGTGACGGRGAAATCTCCATTTCCTTGAACTCTGGCTTGGGTTCGCTACAGAAGTTGTTGGGTTGTTCAGACGTAACTTGACGTGTAAGACGAGTCGACGTCGGTGGGCGTGTTGGCTGACGTAACGAGTTCCACATTTTTCTCATATTTTTGCAAATCACTAAAAACACGTCTGACAAAAATGATGAGCTCGTCYGTTTTTCTTTTTAAATGTGCTCATTGTAAGAAATTAAACATACAAACAATAAATAATGCAGCTTAACAGAGTTTACTCCAGTAGTTTTTTGTAGATCTACTGAATGCAATTTTGAAATGAGGGTCCACAATCAATGTAAACAAAGCACCCAAAGCTATGGCTGGTTATAGTCTGTTAAGGTAAACAAATATGTCTTAATTAGACAAGTGTATGATGTTGAAGAAAGTGCTTAGGTGGAAATTAATGTGTTTTTACATACATTTTACGTTCTATTTGAGTCATTAAATCCAATAATTGAAATTTAAATATGTTCAGCACCAATGACATTTATTTTTATTAATTTATTTTATTTATTTTTAACTGTGTATTTGGACATGCATGTTTGACACTTTTTAGGGAGTGCTGACTCTCCTTCCTCACAACCCTACTTCCTATATCTTTGTAAATATCATGTCTCTTGAGTTTTTCTGTCATCAGCTTGAGCTGAAGAAAACTTTGACAGTGTTGTTGTAGATTGTCGTGGCCAGCTCCTGTGGATCTTCTTCCCTTGCGCCTGCCATCACCTCCAGAACTTGTCTGAAACAGACAAACAAAGAGGTGTTTAAAATGTCTTCAGTGAGTTTTAGAAAGCTTTTAACTCACTGTGTCTAAAGATACTCACATGATGTGACAGGGTTCGTTTCTGTCCTTCAGGCAGTGTCCTGCCTCCCACTTCTTCTTTGTTGGAAATGTTGTTTTAACATTTTTGGAGCCTGCGTGAGTGTTCTTCACCGAGCACCACGGTGCGTCTGGAACGAGAACAAAAATGTAAAAGTATTAGAAAAGCTCACATATACTCATTTGCCCTGCTTTGCACACTACTCCCAAGACAATTCAGCACCACAACTACAGTATTGTCTTTACAACGTACAAACGAAAGTCCATTCTATTTGTTATTATCTTATAATAAACCTTCATTAACTCACCTGTTTCGATCATGAGCCTCTCTGTGGGGATCGACTTCATAGCTTCAATATTAGCCTCCGTTTTCAAAGAGCTGAAAAGTTGTAATATTGTTAATAAAAGAGCTTTATGTATTAAATATAACATTTTTAATGTAATTTGCTAACCATCCATTTATTCCGATATATAGGTCGAGGTCAAGGAGTGCAGCAGCATCCTCTGCTGTTCCATCAAATGAGTGAACCTGCAGCAGAAACATTAAACTCATCTCTAATGTTTCTCATCAAATATGTKTTAAAGGGGCAGTATCATGTAAAATCAACTTTTTTGAGTTTTATATCATGTTATAATGTTATACTCTCATAAAAAAAACATGCCCAAAGCCTTGCTCTGACTCATTCATGCATGTTTGAGAAATCCTGCAGCGTTTTTAGGAAGCCATGCTGAGGAGCAAAACGACAGGTGGGGACCAGAAACGACTTTTGGGACCAGAAACTCCTCTGGGACGTGCCTTTAAGTCGAACTTCCTCATGGCAGAGCGCACCCCCTCCCCCCCACACCCCGCCCATGACTCCTGCAGGCTCTCGAGTCCAAGTGAAAGTGAAACCTAACTGTCTGCTGGGCTCTCAACATTACTTCTCACTCAGTGAAGCTCTTTTCAGATTAAAAACACTTTTGAGGAAATGTATTTTCAGATGCCAAGTAAACTGCATCATGCCCCCCCACCGCACCGAAATGGGCAAAATGGAAGCAGAAGGATGTTCTTAAAGAGACAGAGGCCAATTTCAAGGCATATAGAAGAGGAGGTGATGAGAAGATAAGTTTATTTTCTATTTATACATAAAAACAGCATTTTAATAACAGCTAAAGGTGACATAGATACTTTATTATGGTATAGTATTTAAATGTGCGCCTGAGAARCACATAAAAGTGCCCCTTTAAAATCAAATGATCGAAAAAAATCCACTTAAAGTTGGTGCAAGTGCTTAGAAAGAGTGAATTCAGAAAAATAGCAATGAACCAAAAAGTGTCCTCACCACTCCTCCTGCACATCTGTCACGGTTTCTCTTCATGATGCCTGTCGGAACAAGCACAAAGAAACGATAAACAGCCCCGTTGAAAACGCCTCCTCATAAAAACAGACGAGGATTTTCTTTTCCAAACCTACTTATAAACTCAGGATGGGAGTTCCTGCAGTGCAGAAACATGGGCAGCTTGGTCTCCTCTGCCAGGTCGAACTGCTTCTCAAAGTATCTGCAGCAAACCGGAGAGCRAATGAAAGCTTTTGAAGAGTCCATAAGAAGGAATTTGTTATAAAAACTGGGTGTGCAGCTCACAAAGAGGATGAGATTCAAGAAGTTTGCCGTACTGCAGAGTTTAAAACTAAGTAGAGACATACAAACTTACTTTAGTTGAGTCTCTTTGGGACAAAACTCCAACCTGTCAAAATCTGGAACAAGAAAAAAACAAAACATAATTTTACTTAATAACAAGTCAGCTATATTAAACCACTACTTTCATTTAGACGCACCTAGTCCACACTCTCCAATGGCCACCACCTTCCCTCTGTGGGCTGCTGCCAGCTCCWGTAGCCCCGAAAAGTACTGAGCTTCTCCGTTCTGCTCAAACTCACTGCAGCGGGTCGGATGGCAGCCGACAGTGCAGTAAAACTCATCTGGAACGAACGGGGGAAGCTTGTTTTATGCGCAGCTGTRAAGCACGCAGCGTTTGGCGGACCCCACTCATAAAGAAACAGCAACAAAGACGCCTAATGTACGTTTTTATAAATGTATGAACAGCCGTTAAAATATGCAGTGCAATACAAGAAACAAGCTCATATAATTCAGCCAAGCTGTCATTAAAGAGTAACTTACCCCAAAATTAACTTTTTTTAGCTGATAAACTGTCTAGARTGTGTCTAAAATGTTATATAGTACAGTTTCTGTGCTAATTTTGATGTTTTTATGCGTATTTGTTCAA